GCTGCAGAGTTTAGCTCCAACCCTGATCAAACTCAGCTACCTGTGATTTTCTAATGATCCTGAAGACATTGATTAGCATGCTCAGGTGTGTTTGATTAGGGTTAGAGCTAAACTCTGCAGGAAAGTGGATCTCGTGGGCCAGATTTGAGGATCCCTGGTCTAGAATCAAAGGACTACATGTCTGCCATCTAGTGGTAGGGAATACAAATGAGATATTACACCATATTAGGAACTACAGTCTATTTTATTAAGTATGACGTCTTGTCGCAATTTTGCGACTTTGGCGTTTAGAGGGTTAAGGACATTGTCAACCATTTCTGGTATTGCTGCAAGCAAGCCTCGCCTGAGAAGCAGTTCAGGGTATGTTGGTGGTGACTGAAATGATAAATGACTAATGTTATAGTGTGCAGAGAGGGGAAGAGAGAAACCGTAATGTGTTCTATTTCTGCAGTTGAAGTGGCATGCTGTTCTGCACCATGTCCGCAACCAACACGCATGGTCAACTGGATGCTGTGATCATGAACCACTGGGTGACAGCAGTCAAGAAAAGCCCTGGATAAAACAAGGTAATTGTAATCTGGTTGATGAAATAGCTCTACTTTGATGAATGGACTGTTCTCCTACTCACAACATGATGTGATTACAGGTTCAGCAGCTCATCAGGCACTTGCAGCCATTGTTTTGGATAAGTTCATCACCTTCAGGTATGCACTCTGCAGTTCTACATTTGTGTTCATTATCAAACAGATAATCTTGGACTGCACGTCGTATGCAAGTAGAAGTGTTTTGTTGTAAGCCAATTTCAATATTTCTCTAAGATCTGGTGCTTTGGAAAGCCTGTCTGCCTGGCACACCACAGTAGTTATCTGGATAGGATTATAATTTTCACTGAAAATAATTTTGCTTCTGTGTTTGTTACATAACATAGGACTACCTCAGACCTGGAGAATTTCCAGAACTTTTGATGTATTTTGATGTAGCCTATGCAAGAAAGCATTTTGCCTACAGCCCAGCAGTGTATTGCACACGGACCCTGCTGGCAGCAATTGATTAATTGACCACCTTCCTGCACACAACAGAGACGGACACGAGATGTAAATTTTCAGTACAGTTATACACATAAAAATCACACTCTTGTTGCCAAACCGTAAAACTGAGAAAGAAAAACGTTTTTTTCTTTTCCAGGTACAGACACTACTACAACAAAAAATCTGGATTAACAATAAATAAAACTATGTAATGTTATTTGTAGAACATAGTGTAACATGGGCTACTTTACCTGGTCGGTGGACATGGTTTCCAAACAAGGTTTCTGCATTCGCCGGTTCCGTTAGCTTAAGTCAACAAATCCACATGTATTGCGCTGCCCACGGGGAAGCTTACACAGCGACAGTATTTACGACACTGGTAACAGACAATTGCGCTTAACAACCACATGTGAGTAAATTTTACATAGTGTTGCTTTAAAAACAACCTTATGTCTGGTATGCAATAAATACTGACAGTTAAAGGTATGGGTGGGTGATTTCCGAAGGCTAGCAATAGCGAGCTAGCTTTGAAAGCAAGATCCCACCTTCCCTGCAAATCACTCTCCAAAACACATGAACGCACACAAACAGACCAGAGGCTAATCAGAGACATGACGAGGACGCTGAGGATTGAATGCAATTATTCAGATTTCAGAATAAGCACTTTGTCATTTGTAATACATATGTTGAGAATCTCGTCCATCTGATGTTCATCGTGTTCATCTGATGTTTGCTACTGTAATGAATATGATACTTAATTTTTTTAATAGGCATTCCCAACACAAAGGCCCAATCCCATTTTTAACACTTACCCCTACCCCCTCCGTTTTGCGCATTAACGTGAAGGGGTAGGGGTTTATCGATTCTCTTTTGGTGGGAGGCGTAGGGGTAGAAGGAAGGGCCACATAGCCCTTCAAATTAAGATTTTTCGGGACCACACTTCAAACGAAGGGGTATGAGAATTATCTCAGCATAAACCGGCTACAGTGGCAATGGCTGCCCGAGTGAACAAGAAGACTCATAAACTTAAATGTTTTCAAAGCAAATGAAAAGTAATCATTTGCTTTGTTACATTCAATCATGTGTTCATATTACGGTCATGTTATTCAAAGAAATATTTGCAAAAAATCGCTAAGGTTTGCTAACGTTAACGTTACTGACTGCACAATAGTGCCACAACATATTTTCATGTCTGATCAGGGCTGTAACCACCATAGACATTGAGGGGGCTAGTTCCCCCAATAATTAGAAATCGCTAAACTTATTTTCTCACTCTGTTTCAAGGGACAAGGGGAAGGGGTAGGCATATGGGAAGGGGTATAAAATAAAATACTAGGGAATAGCAATATGGTGGCACAGTGGCTTTACTTTTATGACATTATGAGCAATCCAGTTCTCGGTTATAGATCAGTGGTGTAAACTCATAATAATGGATTACTACAATCATGTGGACTTAACAGACACATGCACACGGCAGCCATAAAGACTTCAGATTTTCTCTAATAGACCGCTTTACCTCAAACATCCACAGCCCTAAAGTACAAGAGAGATCTCGCTTATGGATTGCAAATAACGAAAACGCATCACAGATGAACATCTTGATATTATCGCATGTAGAAACAGTTGGCAAGATACTGTTCTTGATGATAAACTTGATAATATTCATGTACCAATAATAAATTGTAAGTGTATTTTCTTAATTTCCCCAGCACCAAAAGCAGAACAGTTAACATCAGAGCTTATAGATACTACAGTCTTTCGTAATTTAGCCCCAGAGCTGGTTTAATACCGGGTTCAGGTATTCATTCATACTTACAAGAGAACCACAGAAGAATCAGTTGCAAAGCTACATGACAATATATCTTGCATCTGCGTTTCCTAAATACATCTTAAATGGAAGAATAACTCCGTTAATTAAATTTCAGTCTCTCAATTTCAGGACCAAAACACTGTCCTGAACAAGAACAGTGTGTAAAAAGCATCTGGTTTCCTTAATGAAAGAGAAAGCAAACTACAAGTGACATGCATTTTAAGACAATTGAACATAACATGAAACCCATAAGAAAACACAGTTATCATTCATTATTTTTTTATTTTGACTTGTTCTTTGGGGAGGAACTCCATCTTTGAGTTGATCTAAATTTCACAGTTGAATCTGCTGGTTTTGAAGATGAAGATGAACTTTATTCACTGTGAAAACTTTAGATAATGTTTCTTTGTCATGACGCTTGTAATGGCTGGTTAGAACAGGTTATCCAGATGATATTTTATTGATTGATGCATTATTGCAGGGGTCGGCAAGTAAGTTTGGCATCGGGCCAGAACATATATACTATATATATAGTCATATATAAGGATAATTTAAGAAATTAATTAATGAAAAATGCAACTACAATTGCCTGTGACAGACTGTTACAGTGTCTTTTGTAACTGGTAGTGAGCTGTTACTCGGTGTTAAATCCTGTAGTAGGACAGTCATTAACAAAAAGCCACATTTGTGTCGTGGTGTCTGGGTTTTACACTGGATAAACTAATAAAGCAGAGTAGTGACACGTAACCTGGCAAGTATCTTCATTCACCAACTTGCATCACAGACCGCCTTGCTAAAACACACATATGTGGGAGATGCGGAATGGATAAAAATAAGTCAACAAATAAAAGAGGACTTGAATAAGCCCATTAATGGCATGTTTGAGTCATGCTCTTAACGAACTATGTTTTATTTCCTCTTTGCATATTGTGAATAATAAATGTGTATCATTTTAAAGCCTAACTTATTGTAATAATTATTTGACTAGCCTACTTTTACACAGAATTATTCCTTGGCATCCTCCCGTAATAAACTGCATTTTTAAAAATTGTTTTGCATGCCGGAGGTACGCTATTACGTCGTGCGCAGAGTGATGTTAACATTTAAGCTAGCTGGTGAGAGAAAATGGCACTATCAAAGAGTCTAAAGAGGAAAGTTGACAGCGAAAATAGGGCATACAAAGAAGAATGGAAAGACAACTATGCATTCATCCCACCTAGTTTTGTGAATGCAAAGCCGGTGTGTCTTATCTGCAATGAAGTTGTCGCTGTTTGCAAAGAATATAATAGACTCTTTTGAACTTTTCAAATTAAAAGCTCTCAATTCATCACAAAATAAAACATTACTGCAAACACGTTGTCTTACTTTTTTATTTTGAAAGCAAAATCACTAAAGCCGAAGTGATTGTGAGTTACTGTCGCTGTCATGACAGATCTATTTCAGAACCAGCCGCTATCAAAATAATCTGACTGTGGGCGGCCCAGATATTATTGCTGGCGGGCCAGTTTTGGCCTGCGGGCCGCCTGTTGCCGACCACTGCATTATTGTTTCACCTTTTGTGAGGAGGCAGCATCAGATCTGAAAGTGCTGGACCTGAAGATGATATACTTGGGGCTACTTCTACTTCTTTTTGTTCTACTTTTGTTCTGATATGGTTTCTCTCCAGTGTGGATCATCTCGTGTCTTTTCAGATTTGCTGACTGATTGAATCTCTTGTCACAGTGTGAACACTTATAAGGTTTCTCTCCAGTGTGGATCCTCTCATGTATTTTAACGTCTCCTGACTTATTGAATCTCTTGTTGCAGTGTGAACACTTATAAGGTTTCTCTCCAGTGTGGATCCTCTCATGTATTTTCTGGTCTCCTGACTTAATGAATCTCTTGTCACAGTGTGAACACTGTGTGAACACATAAGGCTTCTCTCCAGTTTGCATCCTTTTATGCAATTTTAAACAGGGTGCTGAAGTAAAAGTCTTTTCACACTTAAAGCACATGCATTCTCTCACACCAGTATGTATTTTCTGATGCACTTTCAAAAAGTGTTTCTTCAGGCCTGAAGCCCATAAATACATTTTACCGCATTGATCACATGTGTGCTGCTTCTCTCTAGTGTGGATGTTCATGTGTACCTTAAGGGTTGCTGATTGTGTGAAACTCTTCCCACACTGATCACAAGTGAATGGTTTCTCTCCAGTATGAATTCTCATGTGACGCTTAAGACCTGTTTTGCTTGTCAAACTCTTTCCACACTGAGTGCAGGTGAAAGATTTCTTGGCTCTTCTTTTCTTTAAATCTTTCCGTTTGGTTTGAGAGCAACTCAAAGGTTTTTCTCCAGTTTTGACATGATTTTTCTCAACTTCACTTGATTCTTCATTCTCCTCTTTTTCTTCAAACAGCTCTGAAATAAAAATAAAAATGGTTCAATTTCAGTAACTTGTAAAAAGCTGAGAAATGTGAACATAAAAGTGAACTCTGATGTAACAGTGCAGAGCTCCAGACTAACATTTGAGAGCAGCGCCACTAAGTTTTACGTATGGTGGCACCAGAAGCAGATTTGGTAGCGCTGGGGGGCTGGTGTGTGGGGTATGAAAAATAAAGATAATTTAAATCATAAAATTACTACTGTTTTGCATTAATACGGGCAGTTACTAATAATATTACATGTTTTATTCTTGGTAATACACATTTCACGGGAAGATGGGAAGATAGATGGGAAGCATGCTAAATTTACTTTTATTAACATCAGTAACGTGCAATATCTAATTTCATATAGAAAATTAATATATTCTACTCTTACTAAATGTACCATTATTCTTCTATAGTATTATATAGAACGGACCAACAACTTCAGTGATTATAATTGATGTGCGATTCAGTCACAAAGTGAAGAAAAGTTTGGTGATTTGTGACTTTTCTTAAACAGTGCAAAACTTTGACAGAATGTGATTCATTGATGATTTGATGTTTTAACATTTTTATTTCATCATTTCAAAATATAAAGCAAGTAGAAAGGAATGACTAATAAGCCAATACGTGCTCCTCTGCTGCCATCTACTGGTTATAGTGGTACTTTGATGTATTTATTTATTTTTTTACATAAGTGTTTGTTTACCACAAAACCATATTTGATATGTATTGTGTTTTGTCCCATTAAACATAACATTTTAACTGGATAATTTTTAGAGATTAAAAGTGCTGAAAGTAGTTGTGTGGAATACTTGAAAGTCATTGAAAAGTGCTTGAATTTTTTCTCTCAAAAGGTTGTACAAACCCTTAAATGAATGATGTAATAACATTCTCAACTTCACTTGATTCTTCATTCTCCTCTTTTTCTTCAAACAGCTCTGAAATAAAAATAAAAATGGTTCAATTTCAGTAACTTGTAAAAAGCTGAGAAATGTGAACATAAAAGTGAACTCTGATGTAACAGTGCAGAGCTCCAGACTAACATTTGAGAGCAGCGCCACTAAGTTTTACGTATGGTGGCACCAGAAGCAGATTTGGTAGCGCTGGGGGGCTGGTGTGTGGGGTATGAAAAATAAAGATAATTTAAATCATAAAATTACTACTGTTTTGCATTAATACGGGCAGTTACTAATAATATTACATGTTTTATTCTTGGTAATACACATTTCACGGGAAGATGGGAAGATAGATGGGAAGCATGCTAAATTTACTTTTATTAACATCAGTAACGTGCAATATCTAATTTCATATAGAAAATTAATATATTCTACTCTTACTAAATGTACCATTATTCTTCTATAGTATTATATAGAACGGACCAACAACTTCAGTGATTATAATTGATGTGCGATTCAGTCACAAAGTGAAGAAAAGTTTGGTGATTTGTGACTTTTCTTAAACAGTGCAAAACTTTGACAGAATGTGATTCATTGATGATTTGATGTTTTAACATTTTTATTTCATCATTTCAAAATATAAAGCAAGTAGAAATTAACGACTAATAAGCCAATAAGTGCTCCTCTGCTGCCATCTACTGGTTATAGTGGTACTTTGATGTATTTATTTATTTTTTTACATAAGTGTTTGTTTACCACAAAACCATATTTGATATGTATTGTGTTTTGTCCCATTAAACATAACATTTTAACTGGATAATTTTTAGAGATTAAAAGTGCTGAAAGTAGTTGTGTGGAATACTTGAAAGTCATTGAAAAGTGCTTGAATTTTTTCTCTCAAAAGGTTGTACAAACCCTTAAATGAATGATGTAATAACATTGGACTATTTCTGCCGCAACACCATGGTTATAGTTAGCGTTCTGCTTCTGGGTTTCTGCGTCAGCGCTGTTTGATCTGTTCATAACAGAATTCTGTGCAGAATTTGAATGCTTCTCACTAGATCTTGCAGCAAGCTTATTCATTCTGCGGCAACTTCAAACGCTTCTCACTGGATCTCGCTGCGCTGTGCAGTAACTGTGTCGCAAGATTAACATTGGTTCCCGAGTAAACCTGCTCTGAGCTCGTTTGCTGGCCAGTTTGCTTGCTCTGCTCTCAATTATTGATCTGAGCTGCTAAATTGTCCATGTTGTGCAGCTCAGACAGTTTTGTTACGCTTTTGTTTCGTTTGCCGTTTGATGTTTCTCATTTGCAACAGAAATGGTAGCGCTTATGAGTTGGGCAACGCGGTGGTCGCACTGGCAATATAGTCGCACCGGCAGGAAAAAAGGTTCGCAAAATGTGACCATTTAGTCTCAGTCTGGAGCCCTGCAGAGGAAAGCAGTTGTGTTAAAAAATCATATTATTATTTTTACATTATTATAGACACAAACCCCATGTTTCTATGCACCTTATTTTTCAGTGCGGAAGTAAGCCATTTTCGGTCAATGTGCAAGACTTCCAGTTCATTAGCCGTTGTAGGGAAATAACGAGAAGAATAAAAGTGCAGTAAACGGTAAAACAGTTTGCACTACAAACCAGTGTTTTCATAATTACGATAATACATTAAAATAATATGTTAAGACACACCAGTTTGAAATATCAAGCCGCAAAACGATCGGTTTTGTACAGCTAAAAATAGCTGTAAGTGATGACACCAGAACACATTAAATGTACTAATTTTATTGGGGGGGGGGGGGGGTTG